ATAACCACATTTTAATTAAATAAAACCAGCAACAAAAAACTATAATTTCCTCAGGAAAAGGAGATTCTTTATTAACCAAAACACATATTCTAGCAAAAGTAAACCTCAATTGAGAATCTACAACAATAGGAACATTAACCAGATTTGCAATGTATCAACTTCAACACCAGAAGAAGAGGCATCTAATGCATTAGACACCAATGTATCAGACTGAAATTTAGTAACATTAAAAACATTAGGCTCAAAAGACAAATTAGAAGCCGTAAAATTATTAGGACTAGGTCAATGAGAAGAACAAGAAGGTTTGGATGAAGGATAAGAAGGTCTGGAAGAAGGCCATGAAGGATGTGAAGGTCTAGAGGAAGCTTTACAAACCATCTGACTCCTACTTATTCCTCTTTGAGATTCTTTTAAGACCATTGCAATTTTGGGGATAAGTGGGAAATAAGTTTGATGGATGAACAATAGAACCACAACCCAAACAAGGCTAATTAAGGCTTCCAAACATAAACAACTTTTAACGAAATAATAATCCCAGTCACTGAAACAATTATTTCATCAGGAAGAGGAGATTCTTTATTAACAAAAACAAAGATTCTAGCAAAAGTAAGCCTCGATTGAGAATCTACAACAATAGGAACATCTAACAGACTTGCAATCTTTGGAATCCCCTTAGATGTCCAAGATTTTAATTCGAAGAGGTATTGAAACAAACTCCTCTCTTTTTGGACAAAATGAAAGGGGACCAACGTTGAACAATGAACATTTTTCCAAAGAAAAACCCCAACCCCAGCTAAATCAAAATCTTTAGAACTATAAAATTTAAGGAGAAGCCCTCATTTAATGAAAGAAGATTAAGTGTACCTTTTAACTTCAACGCCTTTAACATGAGTCATGAGATCTCAACACCTCATAAAAATGCATCTTACCTAAGGAATAGCCTACCAGAGTTAACCCCATGGCTTTATAAGCATCTAAAACGTCATCTTCAGAAAAAATGCGCAAGATTATCTTAAGGAGAAATAAAAGAAACAAATAATTCTTTGGAAGGAGTTTGACAAAAAGTCAAACGCCCCAACCAATCATTATGACTGGAAGAAATCTTTTTGGATGAGATATCCAAAAGAGAAACAAACTTAAGCGGAGGAAAATTGGCTGAGTAATCCATAATAGAACAAGAAAAAAAATAAGAACCAGAAAACTAACTACCGAAGGGAGGAAGAAGAAAAGCCCTAAGAAAACCTATGGTTTGCAAGAAACCCTAGTAGAGTACCTCTCTCTCCTTTCAACTCCACCAACTCCCTTTTCTTTAAACCGTTTCAAAAACCAATGAGAGCTGTAGTGTAAATGGCATTGAGGACTTGAGCTCCATGGAGCAATTACAACAAATACAATTATTGGGAATACATTTTTTTTTACAATTATTGGTACTACATGATTCTAAAGTGAAGATGTGATTTCAGTCCCATTGGATGACATTATTCAGGAATTACAGGCTATACCTGAGAAGTCAGAAGCTGAGATGAACCTCTTATAGGAGCTCCATTCCGACTTATTTCTTTTGTAGCTATATTTGTCAGTGGAGCAGATTTGGTTGATCAAGACGAACCAAAAAGAAATTTCTGAAACTATTTGGAAGCTGGAGCTTACATATTTCTTTGTATTTATCATAAATTAACTAGGGGTAACTAGGGGATGATTTTACTTAAACTTCAAAGATACATATAACTACAAGCATTAATGGCACATTGATGCTATAAAAACACATATTTCCTGTCAACAAAGCCACCAACATACAGAAGCCACATAATCATTGACAAACCGCCATATCCCGATATCACACCTCAAATCATGCTGAGCATTGGATTAATAATTGATAAGCTTTGATTAGATTTTTTAGTCCAAGTTAAAAAAGAATTTGTATATATATATATATATATAAAGTGCTGACGCTGTCCAGTAATCTCTCTTGGCTGTCTTGTGAAAACAACGATATTAAAATAATCTAACATTTATATCTCTACACGCTATTCTTAGAATAATATGCTGTTTACAGATGAAAAAGAAGCTTACTTTTCAGTAGGTGTACAAAATTATTTTGATCCCAAAAGTTACATGAAGCTATTTTATTTAGCTTTAACATAAATTATTGTTTTTTAAAATTTTAAATTAGATAAATCCAATAAATTGTTGTATGTTAACTTGAGTTTAAGGGATAGATGAGGTTTATATGTTTGAGGTGAGCAAAGATTTATTTGAGGATTTCCAAAAGCTAGTATTATGATGAAGTCCTAATTCTAGTGGAAATAACAATGGAATTATCGTAAATTGGGTGAGGGGTATAGAAAATCAAAGCTTTGTGTATGAAATAGTTACATGTTTATAACTTAGGGCTTTTTAAAGGTTTGAGAGAGAAAATTTATGTTTACACCTTATGTTTGTCTCTTGTAGATTTTGATTGCGTAAGAAGAAAGGGTCGTAAGGATAATTGACGAATCACATTGTGGTGAGGTAGATGAAATGGAATTCTTTTAAATTTAGAAAATTTTATACATGCAAATATATAGAAATGACATTCTTTTTTATGCTCTTTATGATATCATTATGAATAGTATGTTTCTTTATAAAAGCTCATGATCACTTGATGTAAAAGCAAGGTCTTTTTTTATGCAATACTAGAACTCAATGTTGAATCTCATGCTTCATCCTTTACATGTATTACACATGCCTTCTCTTTACTTTCAAATATACATTTGAGCATATCAAATATGTATTTCCATATGAAAACATACACTTGAATAGTTTACATAAGTTTCTTTTATGAATATGTAAGAATTATGTGCATGTGCATGTTGACGCGGAAATATCAATGATAAATGAGCTCTTTTGAGCAATGGTAATGGGGCTCTTTTGAGCCAAATGGTAAAGGGGGTTCTTTTGAACCAAATGACAAAGGAATGGCCAATTTTTATGTACCTGATCAGTACAAATGATATTTCCGAGACGGGTGTTACATATATTAAGATATTATAAATATTGCATCTTTATATTATATACATATGAGACTTTTATTTGAGGCATGAATGTTTAAAGAGGAAGAATTGAAAAATTATGCAAAGAATGAGAACTTAAAGGTTGATGTAAAGGTATGTTTCACCTTAGACAAATGTTATAACACGTTGATTATTCATTAATTGAGACATAAAAGCATGTAGTTTCTTCCCTTGTACCTAAATTTATTTAAATGCCATTTATATCTACTGATTTGTGACTCACCCATATTGTGGGACACTTTTTAGGAGAGACTGGTAGAGGATAATGATGGATAGACCTCCCCTCACACACCGTCGTAGGGAGACGACGGGCGGCAAGTTTTGTCTTTTTGTTTTTGATGTTTTGAGATAGAAGGATTAGAGATAATATGTAAGGAAATGTTTTTGGACATCTTTCATATTTTGAAAACTTTATGTTTTGATTTTTTATTATGAAGATGTGTTGTTGAATGAATAGAAAGAAAGAAAATTTTCCTCTTGGTTTTATTTTAGTGGCTCTTTCTTATGATTGGAAGATGTTTTGTATAATGAAATATGAAAGTTTTTAATTCATGCTGTCCGATCTTCGTTCCCGCCTCTCATTTGCGAGCTAACCGGGTCGGGTCATGATATCTTACACTAGAAATTTTGAAAAAGAAATCTATGACTACGATTAGACAAATGATTATTGCAAAGAAGTAGGGGAGAGTTATCATATCACCTGAACATGTCCACACAACAAAAGAAAGAAGGAAAAGATTCCAAGCAATAATCATTCACAAAGACCCTGTCAAGCTTTATATGAATAGGGTAATCACTCCTTTAATTAAACCAAGTATAAAAATATCCAATAGAAGAAAGATCATGGACACCAAAATTGACAATAAGATTATTAAAATCACATAACTTGCTATTAGGAATAACAATACCACCTGATTTTTCATTGGAGTATTGCAACAATTAAAATCTACAAACAAAAAACCAAGGAGATGAGATGTTAACCACTAAACTAAGAATATCATTCCAAAAGATGAATATATCAACAGAATAATTAGAAGCATAAACAGAAGTAATAAAAATGGCAGAAGAAGATCCAACCATCAAAGAACCATGATAAATTGGCTACTAGAGAAAATAGGATTAAAAGAAACACAAGAAGTATTCCATTTTAACCAAATCCTCCCAGTATCAGAAAAAATTAAAGTTAGTATAACGAGCTTCTTGATGAAAAACCCTATATTTAGCATCAAACCAATGATCATAAACAAAAATAGAATTAACTTTAGCTTCAAAAATACAAAGAAAATCAACATTAAATTAATGACGAGATCTTTAAAAGAGGAGACCTTATCCTAATTGTTAAAACCTCTAACATTCTAGGAAGTCATATTAGGAAAAGACATTAAAACTTACTAGAAGAATTAGATGCCTTCCTGACATTTTCTCTTGTAACCTTACCTGAAACCAAGGGTAACTGAATAACAGATTGTTCAGGCACTTTACCATTAGTTAAACTAATAGGTTTATTAGAAACTAGTATAGTTTCTTCCTGTTGTTTCTCTAAGGAAGGTAAATCTATAGATTGAAGAACCTAAAATTTATTATTAATGCTAGTTTCAACAAAAGATTTTCTTGAAAAGGAATAATAATGGAATCTGAAGGAAAATCCTCTGAAGGAGAATTTATGTTAGGAATATCAGCTTTAACACCAACATACAGAATCCACATAATCATTGACAAACCGCCATATCCCGATATCACACCTCAAATCATGCTGAGCATTGGATTAATACTTGATAAGTTTGATTAGATTTTTTAGTCCAAGTTAAAAAAGAATTTGTATATATATATATATATATAAAGTGCTGACGCTGTCCAGTAATCTCTCTTGGCTGTCTTGTGAAAACAACGATATTAAAATAATCTAACATTTATATCTCTACACGCTATTCTTAGAATAATATGCTGTTTACAGATGAAAAAGAAGCTTACTTTTCAGTAGGTGTACAAAATAATTTTGATCCCAAAAGTTACATGAAGCTATTTTATTAGAATAAAGAAAAGGCAATGATTATAACAGAAACTAACTTTTTACAATCACTAGCAAACAATGGTCCAAAGCTACCTGATGTAGCTAATTGGTAAGGAACGTATACAGTTGCTAATCTACGGGGAATGCGACTACTGCTTTATAGTTCTAATGGAGCTTATTCATTCCGGTAAAAAATTTCATACCTGCTGGAAAATTACTAATCAAGTCTTGCAGCATATTATGCATTCTTATCAATAATTGCATGCGTAACTTCTTTTTATGCGTTCTTCACCCTCTTCTTAGAAACCAACAGATATCGTCTAAGAGCAAGCATTGTGATCCATGTAAACCTTGAAATCTTTTCTTTGATCATCAATAATAAAGCAGAACTCAAAACAGTCTTCAAAATTTGAGCCTGAAGGCCTTTGAATAAACCTGGAACACCTTCTTCTTTCCATATAGAAGATAAACATCCACTTATTGTCTTGTTTGATTCTGGTTTGGGTTCAATGGATTCATCTTCATGATTAGAAGCTTGTATCATAACTTTGCACCTATTTACAACATTTAGTATTGGCTATAATTGGTTGAAAAATTAATAAATGAAGAAGAAAAATTAATAAATGAAGAAGAAAAACAACTTGAAAATATTTTGGCAAATTCCAGCACAAGCAGTAGAAATTATAGTAGAGTGGATTCTTTCAGGCCACTTGTTAACATGGTGATCCTGCAAATGGAAGAAAATTCAAAAAGAGATGATACCTGATTAATGGATAAGTTATGATGGTTGCCACACTCTTGGACATGGCACCCAATAAAAAAGCTGAAAAAGCAGAAAGAGATTCTGGAGAGGAGCCTGCTGAACCTGACGCTGATTGCTTACTTTGCTGCCGCTGTATAAATCTTTGTTTGAGTTGATCAAACACGGTGTACTGCAAAAAATTTCAATAAAATTACAACACCAATGTCCATAAGTTCTCCAATAAATTCTGTATGAATCAATCTTTATATTTGTAAAATTCAGCCAGTATGCACACATGAGACACACCACAGATGCTTCTAACGTACAAATAAGGCTCCTTGTCTTCAAAATTATGTTTGGCTGATAACAAAATTAAGCAATGGGTGTCCTATTGATTTCTAACATGTTCAGCTTCGACCAAATTTGAGCTGTGGGCCATTCTTTCAGAGTAGTAGACACACAAGGCATAGGCAATGTGCTGCACCCAATAACTAGATATGTTAGTTCCATCAAGTATTATATCTTCTTGTGTGATAAAAGTCTGTTACGCACATAAATAGAGAAATTTTACAAGATAAGTAGTTCAAGATTATTACATAATATTAATATAAAATTCGTACTGCCAGCTCATGTTATAGGAAGCTCAACTGATATCTTGGGTGTGATTGGCTTGTGTACTCCGAGTCAATTGGATGGAAGGGTAAATGGATGACAACTACTAGGATTGAAGCTAAATAGTTAAAATTGGCGGTTTAGAGTATGCGGTGATAATGCCAATAAGAAATTAAATACTAGAGGTCTTCCACATGGATAGGAGTATATATATGGTATAATCTTCTTCAGAAAGTGAATTTTTATGAGGCTTTGTTGCAAGTCCTGTGCTATATCTTGATTTTTTTCATAATCTCTTTGTTCTCATTTTCCCTTTAAGCATATAGCAATAACTAAGTCATGTTTTTTTCAGCATTTATGTGAATCTAGTTGCTGTGAACCATTGCACAATAATTTGTTTTATAAAATAATCTGCTTGTTTGGACAGATTGGAGAATGTAAGAATAGCGTTAATATAAAACACAAACTAATTTTTTTATGTTTGAATTTAAAATCTAGGTTAAATTACCAAAAAAAAATCTCTTATCCGATCCCGCCTCGCCTATGTATTGTATTTTCCTTAGTGACCAAAAAGCTTGACATTAACTTCCCACAATTTCTCGACTCCCGCCCTTTTTTTATACTAAAGTTCCAAGAAAATCAATCCTTATTCGATTGCCTGTTCAAGTGTTGACTGTGGTGGTGTTTCTCTTGCAAGCTAGTAAGATAAATCTCTTCTTCATCTTCGTTCTCAACCTCTTCTTCTTCATCTACTTTTTTTTCCTTTTTTTTTCCATCAACCTACTGCCCAGTCTTCACTGTCCTAGCAGCCACCGGTGGCCCTCAACCATTGCAACCACCCAACCAAACCCATGCAAGACTCCTCTCACCTCTCAGCTAGCTCCAGTTAAATGAAAATGTCGTTTTAAGAAGTTATTCAATGAGAAAAGGGTAACATATGTTTCACCTCAAAAGGAATTAATGCTTAGGAAGGGTTCATAAAGCCGACACAAATTAAATAAAAGAATGATGCCTCAAAATTAATATATATTTTATACAACAACAACAACAACAAGCCTTTATCCCACTACGTGGGATTGGCTACATGAATCCTTTTTCTCTATTGTGTCATGTTAAGAGTCAAATTCTCATTTAAATCTAATAAAGAAAGTTCATTTCTTATATTTTCTAACCAAGACTTTTTAGGTCTACCTTTACCTTTCTTAACATAAGCCAAATTTAACACTGCCATTGTCAGCTCCTAAGTCCAAAATGAGAAAAGTGAAGGGTTGCGTTAGTTAGTCGACATCCAACATAAAATTTGTTGAATAATCATGACATTAATAGGTATTTGATAAAAGAAAAAAAATCAGTTTCCATAAGGCAATATAAATAATATTAAACTTAATTCTTTTGCTTTCTACTTAACACATTCAAACCGTTTGATGTTTTGTCGGAAAAATAAAAAAATTCCATTAACAAATGATATTACTTGTAGGTGTTCTTTTAATTTTATTGAATCTTTTTATTTCGTATTTTGCTTCTTAAAGGTTTTTTCCCCCTTAAATCTATGTATGAATGTTCTCTTTCAAATACACTTTACTTATGCATTCTATATTCATTATTGCCTTTCGCTTTAGTACTACTTTCATATAATAACCAATACCTATGTTTGTTCTAACAAAGAGAAGCATTCACCTCTAAAACAGAGAGAGAAACTACCTCTCTCAATAATTCTCCCTCCCTCACTTTATCTCTCTTTCTCACTCTACCCCCATTCCCTCTCTCTCTCTCTCTAATAGAAAATACATCTCTCCTCCCTACCTCACTCTCTCCCCTTCTTAATATCCCTCTCTTTACTTAAATATAATGTTTTTAATTTAGTGTTTTATGTTTTCATTTAAAAGAAAGCACATGTTTGAATTAATTGATGGCTTATAATCTATATTCATTGGTTTAGATTTTTATTGTGTTTAATAATTTGGTTATTAATTAATATATTTATTGCTTAATTCCTTATACCATATGAACCATGATGATATGCATGTTCGTCATTATAGATCAAGGCAAAAAAATAGATTTATAATTAATATAGAATTTCTTTTATTTTTGTCAACTTATAAGTTTAAATGACTATGGAGATATATTTTAAGAGGACATCAAAATTACTTTTTAACAAATTCAACAAAAAATTTAAAACTATTTAGTTACTGCCAAGCCTAGATGAAAAAAATGAGGGATATTTAAAAAAAAAAACTAGTTTCTGCTATGAAAACTTTCTCCACTAGTGGTAACTAAACAATACCTTACAAGTGGGCCTAGTGAGTTTAGTGCCTAAACTTCTAGGAAGGCACAGGAATTAATAATTTTTTTTCATTATACATTATTATACATATACTATTTAGAAAAGTATTTCTTATATGGGAGTTGATGGAGACTGAGCAAACAAGAAGAGAAAGAAGCAATTGTGAAGGGCTAAGAGAAAAATCTTTAAGGGGCCCGAAGGATGATTTAGACAGCAACTTATTGATGAGATGAAAAGAACCGTAAAGGAAATCTTGTGTAGGGGATGGAATAGACAAGAAAAAGAAGAGTATTTGATGGAGAAGGTTGATTGCAAAGCAGTGAACTTGAGCAGACAAAAAGGGAGAAATGAAAGAACAAGAGGCACAGATACCATAGATATCATCATTTCGAACAAACAAGCAATCCAACGCCTATTATAATGAAAAGACATAAAATGAAATGGAAAGCTCTGCCCTAGGATTAAAGAGATTTTGAGAAAAAAAAAACATGCATGAAGAAGGTTCTTGCATTATTTATAAATATGACTATAATAACTACAAGATAAGTATGGAACTCAGCATAAGGTTCACTTGAACCTATAATCGTGTTGTTGTCGAAAGTGGGAGTTAAGTGGAGTACCATGTGAACATTCCTGGCTGCAATTCATATGATAATGGGCGACTATGTGGACTTTGTTCATCTCTATTACAGGGTAGAAATTTTATGAGAAGTTATAAGTGTAATATAAAGCCTTTGAATGGTGCAATATAAAGCCTTTGAATGGTGCTAATGATTGACAAACGAGTAACAGGAATCCACCATTGCCGCCAAGGTATAATAAACCCAAGAGGATAGGCCATCAAAGATGCAAAAAATTATCGACAAACAAGCATCACATTCAAACCCAAAAAACTTAGGAAGAGCCAATGTTAAGCTTCATTGCTATAAATATAGATAAAGTGAACACAACAGCATAACTTTTGATAAGAGAACGCATACTGAGGAGAGATATGGAGATGCCCAAGAAGTTGTGGAATCACATATCATCTCATTAATTTTATTAACATAAATAACAATTTTCATTTAAAAATAGTGTTTTCTAAACTAGCCATTGGACCAATTGAAGAGTCAAACACCGTACCTGCTTTGAAAATTCTCATTCAAGGATCTTCCAATACAAAACTTTTAGTGAGTTCATTTAATTTTTTTCTTCACAGATTACTTTTTGTTTTCCTATGTGAATCTAACCAAACTTCTTTCCTTTTATGTTCACACCTCTGGAAGAAAAAAAGCTCATTGAATGAAATATTCATATTTTGGATCATTGAATTTTTGTATGCTAGCGTGGCCAGCAGTACATGAAACTTTTGAATGTAATTAAAAAATGGAATGATTTACATTTAGTTGTCTTATGAGATATTTCAATGAAATAGATGAATCTTTAGTATTATTTAATGTATTTTCCTGAAGATCTTTTAAATATAATGAACTTTTATTTAATGTAATGAGTTTTTGGCAGTCATTTTTGGAGCTTCGGTTCTAAATTTAGTGATTATGAGCTTGTGATGCTCATTTGATTTTCTTGTTGTAAAATTTAATCATGGGCTTGAATACTTATTAAATTTTAGGTCATTGGAAGTAGGATCTCACCATCTTAGTGCTCCAAATTTGATTTTTTTTATGCATTTCGATAATGCAATTTACTTTATTTTTATTGCTCAAATGTAACAAAATTGAAGAGGCATCTCATTGCTCCAAAGCTAATTCTATGTTTGCAATTGGATGATACAACATATTTTATTTTAAAATGCATTGGATCACATGACACTTGATTTTAATTTAACCAAAGTTCCTTACCATACGCTTTCAGTTTGATTTTTCTCTTTCAGATTATATTTGACTTTCAAGTATTACTTTAAGTAATATAATCCATAATTTCTCTAATCATTTGAATGTTTATTATTTAATCATAACTTTAAATTATAGTTTTTATAAAAATATAGTTAAATATTTATTTTAGTCAAAAATATCTTTACCAATAATAATTTACAAAATATGATTAAAATTTTTAAAATTATAACTAAAAATACTATTAATTTCTCTTATTAAACAAATCATTAATAATTTTTTAAAAAATTATATTGATGTAGAAGGAAGGGGGGTAATAAAAAATAAAAAAATATCTGAAATTCAATTTCAGATTTCCCTTAATTAAGGGATTTGAATTTGAAATTCAAATAAGATGGAGGGAAGTATAAATAGGTGATTAATTATTCCCCTAATCGGATTCCTTAATAAGGAAATAATTAAAAT